ATGACTAAACTCAATTCAGATTAATTATTACACATTTAAATACGGAACAATAATTGTTGTCAAGTTGCCGTTCAAACGCTGCATGGGAACTAAACAAAGCTGCTGTTGTATTGTGGAGACCAACTGAGAGGGATTCTGTGTCATCGCCTGTCACTGTTTTGTTGGCACTCCTGACAGTTTGATATACGCGCCACGAGCATGTATCTAATAATAAGTTCTTACAAGGTCCTTTTTTGTTGTTGTGTAAATACTGATATGATGGTGAACATCAGTTTGTTTTGATATCGCTACATATTAAGATAGTTTTCACATTAAATTTTGATGTTTTTTTTGTTAATTTAAAAAGACAACTCCCGCATTAGGAAAATGTCCTGTGTCGCGAGGGACTTTACAAACATACATGAAACGGACACAACGAACACCCAGACTCAGAACAAAAATTTGTGGATCACAAAGTGTCGTCCCATGTGGGGATCAGACCTATATATAACCGAATATATACTATACTTAGTCTATATTATACACTTCATACACAGGGTCGGCATTTCAGATAATGAATATGTATGTTTGAAATGCATTATTTGTTTCAAGTACTATCAGATCAGAGATATTATATGAGATCACTATCAAAATTGTAGTCTTACAAAAATGATTTCTGCAATTTCGTATCGCCTTTTGAAAATTTGTAATATGGCAAGAGTTTAATTCTTTATTGATTTTTTGATATAAAAATAGGTATCTCTTGACACAAACGTTTGGATTGCAAGTTGTGTCGTTTGTAAACGAAATTAAAATCCTAAGTACATTTGTTTGTGTTACGTAAAGAGATTTTTGGGATGTCTAAACATTGATGCGTTGAAAAATATGGTAAAAGCAATCTGTGTACGGTTGCATGGTGCTTTAGAGCTGCTGCATTAGATAAAATAATAAACATTTGGCTAAGATTTGTTTTTCATAGTGCTATAAAGAGAAATGTAGTGGGTATCCACTACAGACGTTACAACGCCCACTTACTTTAATTTTTGTTTATTTTTCATAGGCTTTAGTCATTTGAATATTGTAAATTCTTTAAGGTTTGTCTGGAAACATTTATACACGTATGTTAAACCGTAAATATTTACTTAATATTATAAATGTGAATTTTAATTTAGTTATTTCATTATTATGAATTTGCTCCTAAGTTACTTGACCAATCTGTATGTAAGTTTCATTTTAAACATAGTTAAGGTAATAGTATCTTTAGCAAAATGAATCTAATTTACGTAATTTATTTTTTGCTTTGAAAAAAAAAATACACTAAATCTTCATGCCAAAATTATCCAGATCCGTTAACCCTTTCTGGCATGACTGAGTAACAAATATCCATATATCCATCATTTCAAACTGGCGTTTATAAAGTTAATGTGACTCTAACCCGTGGTTTACCCAAAGCCTTTACTAGGCTGGAGAGACTACCTTTGGAAACTATAATTGGATTTGTGTTTCAATTACAATTCCTAAAGGAAGTCTGTCTGTTATGTCTTAACTCATAGTGTAGTAAATATAGAGCATATTAAATAAATAGTTATGCTCAAATAGAAATGAACCCAAGCCACGCACTAAAGGTGCATCGACTATTGGTTATAAATTACAAAACCGTAGCTATGTGCTTTGAAAACAAATGTGATGATTAACATTATTGCTCTGTTGCAACGTAAACACCTTGGATCTAGGACTCGGTATGGAATGGGACTCGATCGTGAAACACGTTACTCTGCTCTGTCTTATATTATGAACATTGAGTAATTTGTACAGTTTTACCACTATTTAATATACATAGTTTTAAATAGAAAAGTGATGTATTAAACAATCTTCATAAATCCATTTTGTTTATCATGCAAACGTAATGAATTTAAGTCGATGAGTTACTAATCCAGAATAATGAGTGTCACCACCTCCTATTCATCGCGTGGCTGTCGTAACTAAGGAACAAACTTTGTGGGACAACAGCACTGCAAAGAGAAGGAAAACTTGAAATTAATCCTATACCAAACCGTCTGGTCAGCGTGGTATAGTAGGCCAAAACTTCCTTTCCAAGGCGACGCCTAGGTTTAGTGGTGGACTATGAAATGCTGCTGATGAATCCAGAATAAAAATGATTTTAATTTAATTGAGCTTTTAAATTACTAGGGTTGTAAACAATGGTATGATGCTAGCGTCTTAATGGCCTTTGAAATGCCAACACGCTCCCATTTTAATCAAATTTTTGTCAAATTTTTCACACTTTAATATTTCTATTTCACTTTAAATGGAAGGCGATGCTTCCATTTTGTCAGCAAACTAATTTCTACAGAAGAATATTGTTACCGATCAAAAGCTTGTAAGTTTCGGCTTCGGCCGCCAAGGTTTGGTTTCGGCCACTTTGGTGGAACACTAAAAGTTTCCCTGGAAATTTAATGAGTGTCGAACTAAAAACTTGTGTGATCTTTAACTTTTTCAATGATTGCTTACTTAATCTGTAATACAATTTGTTATTACTTTGAAAACATCTAAGCTTTAAGAGGAATTAGAAATTATTATTAAGTCATTTTTAACTATAAAAAAGTTTAAATTAGAGATATTGTTTCCACTGAAGTTTAGTGACTAGCAGATCAAGTTAGTTTTGTAAATGCAATGATAGAAGACCACGGTTAAGCTTTACTTAGAAATTATTGCTATCTTTGCAATCAATCTATATGCAATAAATGCATGCTGTCTCCTCATATTTTTCCTTTTGTTACAAGTCAGAAGACTTAAAATTTTTAAACCGAAGTTTTGTTAAGTAAAATAAGAGCATAATAAGATTTTGTAAATGACAAGATTTCTCTCAAGGAACGAAAGGTTTTTGCTCTCTACTGCCTCCTTGTGTTATTTAAACTTAGACAGTGACGATAATGGCCTTAAGAAATTGTTGAGGTACTTAACCTATAATATCTCGACATCTTATCTTTCAAAGGGAATTCCATAGCTTAAATATAACGAGACCGTTAAGCTGCGCAAAGGTGATGAAATCACCCTCTTTAAAAAACTTCTACCTTTACCTAAATATTTCTTTTTGTTAAAGAAATGAGTTATTGAGGAAAGTTTTAATTGGTTTCTTTTTGTATTTCCTTCTATATCTTTTATCTTCGTTGTGGGAATTATTTACCTATATCATAAATCAAACTTGCTTTTATAATAAATAAATAAATAATAATTTCACACATCTCACACACGGCCGTCTGATCCCAGACTAGGCAGAGCCTGTACTATGGTAATCAGACTGCTGATAAACATACTTATATATTTCTAAATACATACATTTATCCATGGCCTTCGATGGCGTTGTGTGAATGTGGTAGAATATTATTATTATTATTTAATATATTATTATTATTTAAATAATAATAATAATATTCTACCACATTCACACAAAGCCATCGAATATTATTATTATCTGGAGCGACCTTTTGGAGTCCGAATCTCCAAAAGGTTGCCGCGCCTGTGATTATCAAGTAATTAGTGTCCAATGGCGGCGGTAATCACTTACCATCAGTTAGAGGAGGAACAATATCTTTTCTTGATCACCAACAAAAGGTTGAAGTCCGCCGTTGTACAATAGTGCATAAAGTTGTGTAAATAAAAGCACCACAAAGCACAATAAAACAAATTCATATTCGCAATTTATAATATCGGTAAGGATGTGCGCTCGTAGCTATGATTACATTTCACGTAACTTCCATAAGATAACGGCAAAGACATCCGTTTGCAATAACAGTGTCTCTGAACGAACATCAAACTCAGTGGTAATTATGGCTACAGCTCCTCCCAGATCCGTCCTCTACAGTCAGTGAGAGAAGTACATATTTTCGCTCGTAGGGGGTCTAAAGAGGAGCCAAAGGTTAGAGGAGCACCTTATAAATGCGCAAATCTGTCAACGCAAGAGAGATGATTACAGGAAGATTTAAAAAAGGGAGAGAGGAAAAAAAAAATTAGAAATGTGGCAACATTGATCAAATTCTTGTTTTGAATGTATTTTATATTGACAAATTAATAACGATTTTTCATTCTTCACCATAACCATTTTTAGCCGTATTTTTTTAACTGTTAACATACATAAATATGATATTCAGTGGCAATTGTTCCAATTTTAAACAAAACCCAATGTCGATTCTGTTCACGTCTCTTTCCGGTGTCACTGGTGATATTAAGGTCAGTCCTACTTTAGCAGAATTGTTTCCAATTCAATAAAAGTGTCTATATGTTTGAGAAACTAACTTTGAATAAATAGCAGACATATTTACCTGAGTGTAGTATGCGAATAAAGAAACTTTGAAGTGATTTTTTAATTTGCAAATAACTTTAGTAATATGTTTTGTGTAGCATCAGCCTCCTTAGTATGTAAATAAGTATATTAGTGCCTGTGAAGCATTTGTATTGGAACTCAACTCTTCACCTCCCGTTGTGTTTCGTCAACCAAACATATTATCCAATTCACGATACATTATCCGGTAATTACATCAATTGGTGGTGACTTCATCGAAACATTGACCTTTTTGCGGATTATACGGACCTCGGCACAATACACATCATTCGTTATCACTAGTGTGCGGACCGCGCGCTCCCCATCCATCCGCTGCGTACGACTGACTGACGCTGACTTCAGTTGGTTGGCGACTAGCGCGCGGCAAAGAAGTGCCTACGTTGTTCCGCCTCATTAATAATTCCAACTACGTTATACGAAAAACTTTTTCCTCGAACCGGTCTGACCTGTTGACACTATATTTTTCCAATCACGTGCGACACTCATAACGAACGATTATTTTTTCCAAAGCATTCACTTCGAAGTATAACTTGACAGTACCGTGTAGTGTACATACGATGTTTTGTCGGAAAGCATAAACGACACACAGTACAAAAGGATTGCAGTGTTATAGGATAAGTCATAAACATGTTCGTGTAAGTGGAAGTGTTGGAGAGCCGCCGGGAACGGTAGTGTCGTGATGTACGAGGTCTCGTGCGTTGCCGGCAACAAAGTAGACGCTGCCTACGCAGTCAAGAGCTTGTCGAACGTGATACCATCAGGGATGGGGCACACGGTGTCTGTGCAGCGCCACCATGCGCACTCACAATCTTACAAACATAAACCTGAACTTCCTCCGCCTGTGAGTAAGCCTGATGCCTTGAAATCTCATGTGATGAGGCTCTTGAAGAGATCGAAGAGCCACACTCCAGCTACCAGGGCGGCAGAGAACCAAAGCGATCCGAGGAATTTCGACAGGCGCACGGTATTCACTCGACCTGTTGTCGATGAACAAAGACGAAGGAGGAACTCCTCCGAACGTCGTCGGAGTGCTGATAAACGAGTGATGGTGACGATCGTGGACGGTCTACCGGTTGTTGTAACTGGACAAAACCAAGTGCCACAGCCGCCTCAGCATCCTCCGCCAGTCACTCCGCACCATCGACACACGCATAAGGTATGAATAGTTTTTATTCAATTATTGAAATAAAATCCGATAATTCCTTCAATCAATAAAAGAGCCGAAGTCTGATGAATTCTTAATAACCTTAATAACCTCTTAATAACCGTTACGATTTCACTATGTATTTTATAGGAAATTCCACAAAAAATAAAGACAAATTGAAATTCTAAATTAATTCAATCTATGATTAAAGCAAAAGGATTTTCGAGATGACTAAACCAACTTAAGAACACGAAATAAAGCTTATTTAAAAACAATTTACTATTCATTATTTAAGATAAACATAAGTAAAACATGTTCAGTTAATGACGGCATTAGTAAGACAATCGTCTAACACTTGTACGGTAGATGTTTGCATATTTGTATAATGTACGTGTCACAGTGCTTTATCTTTATTGCCTTCGCGTAAATGTGAGACAGTAAAACGCACAAGCGTAATCAAATTCAACAGTATAGTTAACTGTGAAGAGATTTTTCATCAGGAACATTACTGCTGGACACCGTTTTATCGTGAACCTGGAGATGAAATTTTAATCTAATTCTTTTACAATATAAAGACAATTTCTTATTAACGAGGGCAGTATTAGCGTAAACTGTACACAAGCGTTACAATTGTAATATGTTGCATATTATTGCGAAATTTTACTTTTCTACTATAATTTTATTATAATATTTTTTTTTTAAATATAAATATCTACGTAACCATGCACTACCTATGCGTTTTAAAAATAATGTATCTGTTGTCATAAGGTATAAAAAATACGCTTACTTTATTTATTTAAACAACTAATTTATTTTAACAGATTTAAATTGATTTAAAATTGTATAGGTTACATTCAGTCATTAACAGGTCTAAAGCAATAGTGAGTAATTTCGGATACCAGAATCACTAGCTAGAAATGCAACACGTTAAAAGTACTGAACGATAGCTGTTGGGTGGGTCTAATTCGAACAGTAATCTTATTTTCCTTAGTGGAAGAATTACACTAACCTTCACCTAAAATTTCACACTTTCTACATGTAATTGTAGCTAACCTAATTATCAGACTAGTATAGCACACGACCAACCGTATAAATATTAAGTTACACTCGTTTAGTTTTAATAAAAAAATACCCAGCTGCGATTGGGTGTTGAAATATTTATTTTATAATTCATAAAGCTAATGTTACTGATTTTTTTTACAATTAATTTTGAACACAAAAAATACGGCCCGGTTGGGTTGCCTAGAGCTGGGGTTGCCAACTATGAACTTGTCGTACCAGTTGTTGGAAAAAAAAAAACATGTATTTTACATTACAAGGGAAACAATATATACATATGTTCGAGGTCACATTCTGATAAATATAATAATTCATTTCAGGCAATGTCAGAAAAATTTATTGAAATATACTAATTTTAACTATTTCTTCGTTTTACCTGCTACATTCTCTTTCATTTTTATATTTTTATAAAAACCCATCCCGCTAAACTAAATTGCTTGTGTTAAGAGTGGGTCCACGTCGGTAGTGTCTACTGGTCAGGATTTGAAACCACGACCTATTGATCGCAAGTCCAACGCCTTAACCAGTAAGCTACCGCCGCTTGCCGCATTTTATATAAATGTTTTATTATTGACGCTGTTGGTTTTTAAGATAGCATTAATGACTTGAGACGTCTCACACCGTAAAAACCTAAACCGTCATTAAATACATACTTAATAATTATAATTATAAGAATATTAAAATATTTGGGACATCTGACACACAACGCTATCTATTTTTCAAACTAAGCAGAGCTTGTACTTTAAAAGCTAGATTGACTGATAGAATACTCAAATACTTTTTTTTTTGTAAATACATACATATTATACATAGAAAACACCCAAGCTCTGAAATAAATATTTGCAGATCATACAAACACCTGGTCCGGCCCAGGAATCGAAACTGAGACCTCTGCCCAGCAGTTACATACGCTACCACTGCGCGACCAAGGCAGTCGATTCATATTATAGATAAATTACACCCAGACACAAAACAAATTGTAGTGCTCATCACGCAATTATTTGTCCTGGGTGCAAATCCAACCCCATCATAGCTACTGTACCAGGACCGTCAAAATTACTTCATCAGAACTATAAAAAGACAATAAAATCTAGCAATAAACTGAGGGAAATTATAAATGGAATGTTCTAATTAAAAATAAAGCCATCACCTGACTTAGAAGGATCAAAGTTGCCACTTGTCTCACCGCGCGTACACCGCACTCGTGTGCTCTGGTCGTTACTCTACTTTAAAAATGGCCATCAAAAGTTTTTTCACATTGGCACACATACCTAAATACTAGCAGCACGTTAGATGCATTACGAAATGGCGGCTAACGTTTTAAAAGTGATAGTTTGTGACTAATCGTGGGTATCGGAATTGATTTCAATATCGTTGCCCCCGTATTCGCAGGCCTGCGCCCGCGCGGGACTAGAAAGCGAGAGTTTTTTTTAGTTCTATCATAAACTTGTTGTTTCATATAGTGAATCTTAAAAATATGCATGGTCTGTTATATTTTGTGTGGCCTTTATTTTTCAATTGTAAAGTATTATTATGTGGTTTGTGTGCATTAAATTATTAATACCTATTATAGAAAGGCCTATGTCCAGCAGTACACGTCATTCGGCTGACAAGAAGAAGAAGATTAATATTTTAGAGATTTAGGTTTTTCTTTTCATATTTTTACAATCGTAAATAAAAGTAAAGTAGATCTAATGTTAGCAAATAATTACGGAGAGTGTGTGGGGCACTTACATTTCTCAATTTAATTTCTTCCATCAAGTGTCAGTGTCTTAACTAACCACTAAAGGTTATTTTCTGTACATAGTTACTGACATGCTTATAAGTAGATCACGCTTTGTGCATAACTGGCTTAATACTATAATCCTGTATAAAAACATCTTAGGCAGTTACGCTTGTACTCATAACTATTCACCTAGCAAGAAACAACACAATTTGTTAATACGCAATACAAGACTTGCACAATCGAGCAGGGATTGGTAACGAATAAACACAGCGAGTTCCTTGAACGAGACCGTTATATCTGGCTGCACGTGTGCACCCACCATTATTTTTAACACAGCACTGTATACCGTTCTATAAAAGGGTTTATCTTTCTTTATGTTGTAATCGGTAGCTCGTATTACTAATACTTGAAGTACATATATTAAATGTGTATTATAATACATAATTAAGTGTTAAATGATATTGTAAACATTTATTCAATGGCGTAATGCTGTTGCAGTATACAATTGACCGGTACTGTATTACGAGTACTAATGAAATAAACTAACCGTTAGTTATTACAAAGATTAGTTAAAATGTAGTTCTACGTTGACGGGTAAAATTAAACTTACAGCTTGATCCGTACCTGTATGTATTGCGGTTCCCGGTTCCCAAAGTATGGTTAAATATTCACATAATTTGTATTATATTTTCGAATATATATGAGCTTTATATATTGAAATACGATAATATAAAACATATTTTCGAGTTACTAAAGGTTTTTAGCTGTTTTGACTCCTGTAAATGCAAATAATATCTAGCCGTAAAATAGCTCACTTAAAGGTAGCAAGGCCAGGACCCTTAGATTTGTTTATTGGAACTTATTCACCCGCGTTGCTGTGGTTTCGTATTGGGAATTGGCTAAGGTCAGCCGAAGTATCAGGGATAAACTTGGGCTACGCCCTACTCTTATAGTTTAAGCTCGGTAAGGATTCGGCAATACCCAATTGTTTACTTTAAAACAAAATTATCTCCGAATTCAACGCGCCCTTTACCATAATGAATTGTAGTAAACTGTATTCTTCATTGTTTAATTTTCCACCTTTAGGGGTGAGATATAGTGGTCAAATTTAAATGGATCCAAACGGGAAGTATACCTTCATATAAAAAAAGATCCTATTCAAATCGCTTAATAACTAAAGAAATTTTGAAGTAATAAACATTAAAAAAATGATTTTGTTGATATTTTTAAATGTTCACGTGATTAATGTTTTGTTGTTAATGTATGTGAACTACCCAAGTTTTTTAATGTCTAATGTCTGTATTAAGGTTGTCTGTAAGAGATCGCCGTCAGCGATAAGACCGCCGATTGTAACGTCTATATATTTGTAAACTAAGTTATGTGTTAACTGTATACAATAAAGATATAAATAAAAAAAAACTTTTTGAAATCGATGAAACAAGTGTGAATGATAATAATAATAATAATAATATATCACTTTATTGTACACCAGATATAAAATATACATAATTACCTAAAGCTAGTTCAGTACAAGTGGCGGCCTTATCGCCCAGAGGCAATCTCTTACAGGCAACCGTGGTATGGAGAGAAAACATGAAGAGGAGGAGGTATTGGGTAGTTGCTGGTGTATTAGGAAAGAAGAATAGGAATAAGAAGAAGAAATCGAAGTAGTATATACATAACTATAAAAAGTGATAATTACGCGTAATATCTATTTGTTGACCTTAGGTGAATATAAAATATACTAGAGGGAAAATATGGTGTTATTAGATACATGTAATTAGATACGACGATTTTTAAGTTATAAATACATATATTATAAGAAAAAGTGTGACCTAGTCGACTTAGAAGAAGTTAATTGACGTTGCCGTCTTCCAGGTAGTACTCTTTCACTTGTTTCTTAAATGAGGCAAGTGATTGTGCCCGTCTGATTGCGACCGGTAGGGTATTACACAATGATCTGAACTTACAAAGAGAAAATGACAGTGCTCAGCGCGTAACGAACTTCAGCTTAAAGGCTTTCCTAAATTCACAAGTACTTACAAGGTTCCCATAACAAATTGGTTTCTAAGTCATCCGGATGTATGTCCAAAAAATTTTGTACATTAGCCGAATTGAATATAATTAGTTTATTATAACAAACTGTTCGCAGTTTCCCACGCCTTTTTTTATACTGTTATACGTTAATAATATGCTCGCAAATTTAATTATAAACATGTCTCACTTTAGCTGA